CTGTTACTCTTGCTTCTTCTTCTTGTTTAATTTCTGGCTCTGTTACTCTTGCTTCTTCTTCTTGTTTAATTTCTGGCTCTGTTACACTTGTGTCTTCCTGCTGTTTATTTTCTGGCTCTGTTACACTTGTGTCTTCCTCCTCTTTATTGTCTGGCTCAGTTACACTTGTGTCTTCCTCTGGTTCGTTTCCTGGCTCTGTTACACATGTTTCTTGCACTTGGCCTTCCTCTGACACTGTTGCCTCAGCACTAATTGTAGTTTCTTGGTTATTTGATGTGCTATTTGAGTTTTCTTCTACTTTGGGTTCTCCTTCTGTTACTGCTGTGGCAGTTGAGTTTTTATTGTCTTGGTTACCTGCATGATTTGCAGCTTGTGTGCTTCCCTTGGTCACTGATGCAGTCATTTCCTCTTCAGGTTTTGAGGGACTGGAATCTTCAGTTGTAGGAGTTACAGGACTCTGTGCAGTCTTTTCAAAAGTAAAAACATAAAGTTGTAAGTACAAGACTCAAAGTTCAAAACAGATTGTTTTGGACAAACCTTTGGTTTATTCTTTGGCTTATTGGGCTTTGGATCTGCGCCAATCTTCTGGAGAACACTGGTAACCTTACCTTGATCTGAAACTGAGTTAAATAAACTTGACTTCATCAAATGTTCAATCAATGAATGAAAAAAATGAAATTCATGTCCCAAAGTTTTATTGGCATATGCATCATACACCATAAGGAATCCTTTTATTCCAATTTATCTTCAAAAAAATAATTATAGTGTGTCTTACTCAAGTCATGCTGGGTAAATGGTACTAAACTATTATAAGGATATGTGACCAAATCATATGTCAATCAACACCATTTGTGATAATAGTATTACCTGAATGAATAATTTGTTCTCCAAAAAGGCTTTTTTGTATCAAGTACAGTTGGAACATGAAAATCTCCTATTCTTTGCATTTGAGGTTTGTGGCAGTTTAATGGGATTGGTAATTTATCAGATAAGCTGAAATAATGTGAAAATTGAGTTGAATATTAAAATGAATATTTTTATTCCAGAAAATCATCAAGATGAGCCTTGGATGCATAAATTATGCCCAGCTGATGTTCCAAGAAGAAAGCTTTGTCATCTTTGTGTCTGTAAATTTTTTGGAGGACTATTGCAGAAATCTGAATTTTCTTGGTGGGGTACTAATCCTCAGGTGCATGGCACTGCATGCGTTTATTTGCACAATTTTTTTCCTCAGCAGGTAAAATGAAAAAAATACATAACATTAGCAAAAGAGCCAAAGTCAAGAAAAATAAAGCAATTTTTTTACTTTGAAATTTTCCTCAAACAAGCATTTCTGCAGGGTGCTATTTATCAACATTCCTGCCATATAGTATCAAAATTGAGGGATTTGGAAAGCAATGGTTTTCACTATCCCAGCTTTTTCTGGACTTTGGCTATACTCAGCCAAAACTGTGTTTTGGTGTCCTTTGGTCAAACCAAAATGCACAAGAGTGTGTGCAAAAATTTCCTGGCACTGCCACATAATGAAAACTGACTTGCTGCCATCCAAGGGCTGGACACAAAGTTTAATGGGCAGGGACACTTTTGAATTGTTGACACTTTTGGTGCATGGCATTTTAAGGGGGATTCCAAAGCCTTCATCATCAGCCAAGACATGTTTTTTGAAATTGAAGTTCTAATATTTTTTTTAAGGTTATGGCTCCACCTGGTGGAGGTTTGACTGTACATTCTACATGTATAACATTCCTTCTAATGCTGTAATATGACAAACCTCCAAGAACAGATACATGAACACCTCCTCTTGAACTTCCTTGTCCAGAATCTCCTCCTTCAGACTCTGCTTTGCGAGGCCTGAATTGAATCTG